TTCAACATCTCTATTCCACATTAGGAACTGTGTTTTATTTTTTTAAATGCATAATCTTTGCTTTGTTTAGACCTAGTGTCCACAAATATCTTGCATTTTCGTAACCCTGAAACAGAGACGACTGAAAACGCTGATAAACACGTTTTAGTTTGAAAACTTCAGTACTACGTTGGATGGGCTGAAACTGAGACTTTTGAAAATAATGATGCAGAAACTCGCTCGCTGCCGGACTGAACTTATTGGTCACAACGTTTGCTTTCCAGATTCGATAGCTGACATAACATGACCTTTTTTCCTGAAGAAAACTAACAACATTACCATCGACTACATGTTGTCAATTCAACATGTATTATTAATTACCGGAGTTGTCCACCTTGTTGACTATTCTAGCAGTCGTTGTGAAAGTCTGGATTATGTAGTGCTACTACAGCCTACATGTGCAAGAGGAAAAACTATTATTCTAACGCACATGCCCAGTGTAACAAAATGGTCATGTGATTCTAAGTTTTTAGGCATGTTAGTCCGGAAAGAGATTATAAATGAAGCGGTGCTAAAAAACTCACCTGGATAAATATAGTTTGCATTTGAAAAGGAAAATGTGTTGTTGTCAATGCATCCTAAAGTAGTGACTGACTCACCTATAGGCTCCTCTGGGTGAAAGGCGACTTCGTTGACGGAGCCGGCATGTCCCGGCAGCTTGTACAGGATTCTGCGTGATGTGGTGTCCCAGATGTACACAAATCTATAAACACAGACAAGAAAAACAGCTGGAATGACTCCTAACGTAAGACAGCTGAGACATTGGACACTGAAGGATTTTCATATTTTTGTTACAATACATCATGTGCTATGTTGTTGTATCAAGTTGTGCTGTTGAAGGTGGATTAAAAGAAGTTGAAAGAGTCAAATTGCATCGAGAACATTACAGCTTGCCAGCAATCTAAGATGGATACTAAGCTAGGAAGAGAGACCCAAATCAAATTGTCCTTAAGTAATTATAAGTCTGCACATTTACACAAGTGAGTTTAGTGCATGCTAATGTCTTATCTTGAAGTTAGTTTAATAGAAGCGCAACCTCTAGAAATACATGTAAATGTACTCAAAAAAACGAATAATGACGATTATACAAATGTCTATGTGTATGGGAGTTTGTTTGTTTGTGTTGCCTCTCACCTGTCAGCTGAGCCGGCAGCTATCTTACTGCCGTCAGTAGACCAGGAGCACCTCAGCAAATTCTGAAAGACAGGAACAGATGTTAGAAACAGCATTGTTATAAGAAGGACAAGAGCATCATGTGCTGTTTATTGCAAGTAAAAAAGTGACATATTTCGATGCCTTTTAGGGAAAAATAATTGTTGCTAGGTGAAAAAAAAAGATTTGTTATTCAAGTATTTTCCTCAATATATATACCCCCCGGATGGTATAACGGAGCGTCCACACAGCAGCGTTAAAAAAAATCTTGGAGGTGGGCGTATCTGAAGCTTGGGGATTTTTTGCGAGCAACGCGACCAACAACCAATCACATGAATCTCCCGCCCCCGACATACAAAGCAAAAAAGCCCGAAGTAAACTGGATATAAACTCCCCAAACAGGCGAAAACCTACCACTGTCTCTGCCACCTCCCTCCATGCCTGGCTCGTCCGGGTGGTATCCCGGTAGGTAAATAGGGACTGGTCATAAAGCACCGGGTGATTCCCTACCGCTATAATTAATTTCTCCTCCATTTTTTGGAATATGAGGAAATGAACTGCGGTATGTCACTCCCAGCTTACACGCGGTTTGATTCGCTAGCGCTTGAACTGTCAGATTTGCATAAACGGGATTTGATTGGCTGACGCTTTCACCTCAGCTTCAAAAGTTGAACATTGCTCAACTTTTGAATCCTGAGATGCCTGGAAATCTCCGCTCTGCTTCCCACAATGCAGTTCGGCGAAAAGTGAGGCAAAGTGACGTCACCCCATTCAAAGTGAATGGGCAGAAGCGTTGGAAGATTTTTTTAACGCTACTGTGTGGACGGGCCGTAACAGTGGAAGAACATGTCAGTACATACAGGTCAGAGTTATTGATGTTACCTTCTCAAAGTTGTGAACGTTGCCCTGGAAAATCTTCACACATCTCTCCTTGGGTGCAAATGGTCGAACATCCCAAATACGCACTACACAGAGGAATTAAAGAAAGCAAAATGAAGCATCTGGCCATTGCAATGACACTCTTATAAGCTTAAGAAAATTATTTTGTTATACAAATAAACATCTTACCTGTGTTATCCATGGAGTTTGAGAGAAGGTATGATCCCTCAGAGCTCAGGCTGAGTCCAGTCACTGAGTCACCGTGGCCATGCATATTGTAGATCAGCTTGTTCTGCCTCAGGTCCCACACCTGCACAACATAGAAACAGCTGATGACGGAGTTCAAGCCACAGGACATACAGATTACAGGTCTATATGTAAAGAACAAAGATAATAACCAATTTTCCTTATTGAGGTTCAAATCCAGGGGCAAGTGGAAAAACTAAAACATTTTCTTATAGCACATGAAATTGCAATTCCCAGGTTTTCTGTGTATGCTGTAGGCCAGTACCTTGATGTCATTGTCGATGCCTCCTGAAAGGATCTGATCACTGGTGTCATTGAATGTCGCAGCGAGCACCTGGTAGGTGTTCTGGAAAGTGTGGATCGCCCCTTTCTTACGGATGTCCCACAGCTACAACAGTGACAAACACATGTAGGAAGATTAACAGGAACCTGATCAAATGGACTGGAGTACTTTAGATAAATTAAAGACCACATAATAATGGTCTGTTAATGAGACTTGTGAGAGAGGATATCAAAATGAAATTAAATATCATCCAATTCAACAATTTATTATTATACCTTGACGGTCCCGTCATCACTGCCGGTACAGACGAGTTGGGGCCCTCGACGGGCTGGATAACAGGTGTTAACGAAGGAGGTGTGGCCCTTCAGGCGCTTGATTCTCTCTCCAGTTTCACTGTCCCACACTCCTACAGTCTTGTCTGTGCTCGCTGAAAACAGCATGCTGAAATAAAGAGCAAGAAAACACAGTTTGACACATTTATCCACCTTATTGACCATGAATTAGGAAGCATGGGTTTGACACATCTCTTGCCAGTAACCTAAGCCAAGTGATACATTTAACAAATGGACAGTGTGTAATCACATCCAATTGTTTACAAGAACTAGATTAAATAGTTAATTTAGCTTTGAAGGTGGTTTTGCAAGGTAAGGAGTAAGTTGACTTGTATTGAATTAAATCCCCCCTTGAACTATAGTGTTTATTCTGACAACCGTCATTCAAAAAAGTTTCAAGGTTTGTGTGTTACTTTGTTTTGTGCTTTAGAATATATCTTAGAATTGCACTTAATCTGTGATCGTTCCTACCTGCCATCTGTGTTGTAGTGCAGCTCCATCACTGCTCCACTGTGGCCCTTCATCGTGGCATAATTGTCACAATCTCCGTACACATTCCACATCACTGCAGCAGAGAAAGACAGTTTACAACACGTTATTCACAGTAACTGAAATATGTTTGTAAGTTTAACCAAGGACGTGTGAGCCTCAGGATTTTAAATATCTTACAAATGAGCCTATCAAATCCCGAGGAGGCGAGCGTGGATCCGTTGGGGTGAAACTTGCAGCAGTAGACCTCGCCCTCGTGACCAGACATCAGCATAATGGGAGCCTGCAGGCTGGAGGACCGTGGAGGACCCTATGGGAGATTAATTAAAGGTCAATATATATGATTAATTTAACATCAGCATTACAGCCCAATAATAAATTAACAGTTGTAAATGTTTTCAGCATAAAATGTGTCAACTAATGAGTAACCACACATTTCAGTACAGAAAAAAACAAAGATATATTTGAAGCTATTCAAAAACAGTTTTGTCTTACATAGACTTTCCAGGCCAGTTGTGTAACAAAACAAATAGGACATGTGTCATAGGCTTTTGTTTTAGCTAATACTATGTATTTTGACCCCAAAGATTCATAATTGGCTGTGTTATGTTGAGCATCAATAGTTTTCCATAATATGTAATTGGTTAAGTTGTACAGTTGATGTTTATTGCAGTGGATTTAAGGTAAACACGAGTTTTAGTGGCTTTTGTCTTGAAGCTGTCTAAAGTAGTTTCAACTTAGATAAACATTATAACCTTCACAAATGTAGGATGTAATGCAAGGGTATTGTATTAGACTGCATTCGTTTAAGCAAGATATCGCTAATAAACTGTCTATTTAGTGTACATTACATTTACTAGAATAATTTCTTTCTACATGATTATTATAACTAATAATTTGTTGTTCAAATGTTACATTTATGTTTATCACAGTAGAGTGCAAACTGCATTTTAGAGACTTGCAGATTAATTGATTCGAAATGTGACCGGGTAACTAATCTGTCATCTAAAAAACAAAAGATATTAACAATAAAGACATTTTAAGTCCATTTCGATTTTTTCCAGGCCTTGTTTCTGAACATTAAAAACACATCACAGTGATGTTATTTTATTTTCCTGCGTAGGGGTTTAGCTAGCCACATAGTTCCATTTATGCACCTAAAAGCAATTCTTAGTGCACTTAAGACGACATGTAGTTCATAAATGTAGACTTAATTATGTGTTTCAGTGTTGTTGGCCTCTGATAGATATAAATGAGGACTTTGATTGTAGTTACTCTACGCACCATGGCCACGAGTTGCTGGGACTGCGCCGCCGCCACCAGCTCCGTCCGGGGCCGCTTCACGGCGGCTGGAACCATCGCCATGTCCGCCGGTCTCTTCTTGGGTTCAATCATCCTGAGATAGTCAACAAGAAAAGGCAAAAGCGTTGGAGTTATTGCTAGAGTTTATAAAAAATGAATGGCCGTCTTTTTCGGAGGGACGTCGAGCGACAACGAAGAAGAACAGGAAACTACTTCCGGTGCATATGATGCATTTGATTGGTGGAAGCCTGTACCGACTGCACTGATTGGTTCACATGGCTTGTTGGTAAACTGACCTGCCCCGGATGTTAATCTGAACCAGTTTTGCTAAAACGTAAGGTAACACTATTTTATTTGTATGTTTTCTGCTAAATTAGAAATACATTGTACACTATTTATGCAATTATCGATTGGAATTTATACATCGCGTACGGACCGATTATCCTATTGTTGGTTCTCGGGATAATCATGTTAGCGAAAACAATGCTTTAATCTAGCGAGCTAACGTTAGCCTCATTGCTACTTTTCAAGCTAAGCTATTATGTTACAGCAGATGTAAAGTTAAGCATGTGTACTGTAGTCTTTTAATATATCCGAAGTGCGTCTGCTTATTATGTATCCCAATTTAAGAGAATTTAGCAGAACATTTTTTCTAATGCTAAATAAGAAAGAGGGATATTTGGTAACTACACAACATTGTATATTTTAAACTCAAATTATAATGTCTTTATATTAATGTGTTAAAATAACTCTTAAACAATTTTAACCATGTTATTTTATGCAATTGAATATACTTTTTGTTTAGCCATTTATAAATATTAGCCCACAGGTATACAATACTTTATAATAAAGTACAGTGTCCCTATTACACAGCTTGATTTACACACCATATTAAAGGCCATTATTGTGTATTAGTTCGAAATAATGGAGTAGTTTAAAAGATGCACTGGAATAGTGTCTTATCTATATCAATAAAATGAGTGTTTTCTGTAACTCTTGCTCCAAAATACTTGATTTGGATTCTTGTATAGGACTTTATATGGACTAAAACAACCTCATCTTCAAAGTATATTTTTGACACCGCAAGTAATTCAATTATTCAACTCTCAATCTTCTAGATCTGCTGATTGATCCCTGTTGTCCCCGTCTGCTGAGAACATGTCCGACAGTGATGGCCAGGCACACGAGCCTGCTGGACTGGAGGGTCTGCCACCATTACACAGCATTTCCAAAGGAGAGGTGGTCTCTGTGCAGACATACGGAGCCTTTGTAAGACTGCCAGGCTACAAGAAGGAAGGTGGGCAAAAGTTATTGACTTTTAATACAAACATTTAAAAATCTCAGAAGGGGAAAAGTCACATGTACACAGTTGCATTCACAATTGGAAGAGAACGTGCTGTAAAAAGGTTAAACACCACCAAATACAGAGGAGTGAGTAGCAGACAACAAAAATAAGAATATTAAACCTTTAGGGGAATATTGTAAAGCTTGCAATGGGTGAAAGCAGAACTATAATGAGAAACAAAACTAAGAAACATGATGTGGCAGATACACGATAATAAATCAACACCTGCATCCGCTGCCAGGTAAAACCACTGCATCATGGGACTTTGGCCAGGGCCAAAACCAATGCAGTTAGTAGAAAGAACACAGGAAGCAATAAGCAGCCCTCTTTGCAAAGTGCCTGTCAGTGATTGATGGAGCTGTCTCAGCAATAGTTAGCAAAAGAGGCTGCAAGGCACCTAAGCTACATGTTGCTACTAGATTGGGATTTCAACATTATTTCAAAACTCCTCCTCCGATTGCACTATGGATATTCAGTTCTGCTTTGTTTTGTATAAAACAAAGAGGCTGTAAAGTGTCCTGCAATATGTGGATATGTTACATAGAGCAAGCATTATTGTATAATGTCTTATGTTAGCATAGTGACACAGTGGGAACATGGACTTCTTCAGTAAAGGGTTAGAGTGTTTGCCGTTGGTAAGGGTTGCTAAGAAGTTGAACACATTGATGAATCAAGATGTCATTCATATGTTCTATTTTCACCCTTTACTTAATTTTTTATTATGATTTGCATGGGCACAATTGTCCTTGACCTGCATGTCATACTAAATACCTGCTGTTCGTTTCCACCACTGGAGGGCGATATGAGCAATGTTTACTGTGAAAAATCCATCATCCAAACCATTATTTTGCATTGCACATACAGGCCTGGTACATGTGAGTGAGATGTCAGCATCGAGGGTTGAGAATGCCTCAGAGATTGTCGATATGGGGGAAAAGATTTGGATTAAAGTCATTGGGAGAGAGGTAAGAAGACACACACAGACACACACACCATTCTGTGTCAGTGAAGTGAGCAGAAAGACTGATATCTTGTGCCCCATCTCCCAGATTCAAGGCGACAAGGTGAAGTTGTCCTTCTCAATGAAAGCTGTCAATCAGGGAACAGGACAGGACTTGGACCCAAACAATGTTAACGGAGAGTAAGTGCTCTTGGTTTTATACTATCTGCAAGTTTGTGTCTCAACATGGGTGCACAGACTTGTAACATTGTCTGTTTGTGGTTGCAGCCAAGATCAGAGGCGACGTAGGAAATTCAGAGATCACACAGGCAACAGGATCACACTGGAAGCTGTTCTCAACACAACATGCTCAAAGTGCGGCTGCAAAGGTACTACAGTCATATCACTTTTCTACCGTGATATTTGCTTGAAATCACTTTTAAATGTGCGTAGTATAAAGGAAATCGTTACTCTACAGGTCACTTCACAAAGGACTGTTTCTCCACTCCGGGCTTGCAGTACGCTCTGGTGCCTGAAGAGGACGATGCAGCGTCACGGCAACAACAACCACTGCTGACCCCAGCTGTTGCACCACAGCTAGACTCAGACAAAAAGAAAAAGAAAAAGAAGGTAAAATCATGACAGTTACTGTCTTGCATCACTTCCTTTTTCCCCCCCGAACTTTCCTTTCATTTTGTATTTCTCGGTTGTGAGTCATCTGACACAACAACCCACATGTCTCCGTTTGGCAATGCATGACTGTAAGAGACGGCTTCTTGAGAATTGACAAAAATGTTGTCTCTGTGGGGGCTTTTCTGCTGATATAATGAAAAGTAAATGTTTTATGACTGAGTTTTGAGGAATTGAAACGGTTGCTTATAATCTCTGCATGGTCGATGCTCAAAATCCTTTTGTTGCCACATAATAAGAGGAAAATAAAACGACACCCACCCCTTATCCGACTAAGATGAAGCACCTTAGCTACAGATTATCACATTTACTGAAGAAAACATCTTCGAAATGAGATCTGTGCAAAAATCCTTTGATCAGAGACCTTCAAGGCAAGAACAGATATCAAGTGAATGCAGCAGTACAAACATAATTTGATTGGCCCTAATGCAGAACACGTGTCAATCAGTTGAACCTGTTGGCCAAAAAATAAAGGGAATTGTAGTCATGGGTATGATTGAATAAAAGGCCCTCTATAAAGAAAGGTAAAGGAAGACCCAAAACCCATTGAATATACACAATTGGCAATATGTACAACCAGAGAGAATATACAACAATAGAGATGCATTATGCTTCCGATATAACACAAATCTTATATTCTCCTTGTATTTATATCCTCCAGGAGAAGAAAATGAAGAAGAAGAGGAAGAGGGAGAGGAAGGAGTCAGGGAGCGACAGCAGCAACAGCACCAGTGACGAATGCAAATCCAAGAAGAGACGCCACGAGCACGACAAAGAGGACAAGAAGAAGAAGAAACACAAGAAACACAGATCACACAAACACAGCTGAGACAGCCGCACATACATACGCAACATACATATCTTTAGTCACACACACTGCAGCTATCACACAGACGCAGAAGAGGAAGTGGTTGGCATCAGAATGCCAGATATGTATCTTTTTTTTTTTTTTTTTAAATCCCTCCACTTACAGCTCAATATAGATATATTCGACCATATAGGTTAACCCATCTTATTTAAAGCTTGCAGACTTCCTATCAAATTTCCAAACTAATTATGTCCAGAGGGTAAAGGGTTGCAAAATCACGAGCCCCGCTTGTCCTAAAGTAACCTCTGGCTCCCACTCAGAGGGAGGAGTGTACTCATACTGTATGTAACAGGATAAGTGAAACCAATATGGCTGCAAGCGGCTTCCCGCATGGAATCTAGATATTGTTTTACATCAGACTTAGATTTAAAATCCTTAAAGTAACCCCCTCAGAGAAATCCACACACAAACAGGAAGTAGTACAGACAAACAGGACGTGTAATACCGCACATGTGAGCGTGACAGGATCTTCAGGTTGTGATGATATCCTGGAGCTGTATTCATTCATTGACCATTAGCATACGTGTGTCTTTGTATAGCTTTGCCTCCAGGGGATGCTTTCAACACTCACAGCCGTTTTCCTGCATGTCAACTGTTAACTCCATTAAAGTTGTTTTTATTTGTAAACAGAATTAATGCCTATTGAAGTCTTTGTTCTCTGCCCTTGAACTCATAATGTTGCTGTTTTTAAGTAAGCCCATGTGGGACCAAAACACACACACGCACGCAAACATGATAATTGAAGTTGTGTCTGTTCCACCCTGGGGTCAAATACTGTCAGGTCATGACTGAGCTGATGGTTTGACACTTGTCCAACAAGGTCAAAGGCACAAAGTTGACATGGCAGTGTTTGTTTTTCTTTCAAAAGATAACCCCCTGTCAGTGAAAGACAAGATAAGGCGATGTTAAAGGTGGGGTAGGTAAGTTTGAGAAACCGGCTCGAGATCGCTAGAATTTGAAAATACACAACCGGAGAAAATCTGCCACTTCCTTACAGAGCCCCTCCTCCAACACACACGAACGCGCACATGACCAATGAGGGCACGAGATAAGTTTGTGCACAGATGGAAGGCTGACAGGCAGGTAGGCCATCCAGGTATTTTAGCCGGGCCGGCTAAAATGATTGGTCGTGCTTTTTACAGTATTACGGCTTCCACAGATGACATTTTTTTATGGATTTTTTGTCAAAGCACTTAAGATATTCATTGCTATCGGGATGTTAAGAGCATTCCATGGAATATAACAAGTGTATCTCGAGCCGGTTTCTCAAACTTACCTACCCCACCTCTTTTGACCTTGTCTCAAAAATCCCTCTTGGAGGATTGTGGAGAAAAGATTGTTTCCAGCTGCAGTGATTTGACACAACTCCAGTTCATTCTTCAGTCTAAAAACTTCTCCTTTCTGCCAAACAGATGTACAAATTGAATGTAATGTGGCCAGTCACCAGAATTGTATTGCACATAATTACATGATAAATGTAAACCAACACAAGACTTTAGAAATAAGAAACTACTTTGCATATTTGTTTAACTTGTATTACAATGTTTGATTTGACCTGGGGGACACTTGGGTAAGAGGAACATTGAAATAGTTTTGTTTTGGGGTGAACTTTTCCCTTTTAGCAGGGTAAAGAGGTTGAGGCAGAAAGGGACATGGATCACCCTGCAACCTTTCAACCTTCTGCTAGCTGGCAGTCAGTCGCTAACTCATGACATCAATGTACTGAGGGAGGGAATGAGCCGAATTTAGAAAGCACACACACTCACACACCTAGAGTACAAGCACAGGACTCAACACTGTCCTTGCCCCTAGTGCCAGTGAAGGACATTTGGTGTATATGTAATTTTGGGGTCACTTTTAAAATAGTTGGATTTGATGTGAAATGTGCCCAGATTCAACTGCATATAGAGTAATCACAGCCTTGTGCCAACACCAGTGAATGAAAAACTTAAACTAGTTAATATATTTACCAAAATGTTGGGGGTAATATTTTTTGATCCAAGGTTTCTGATAAGTCTTGGCCCCCTCTTCATTTCTGACACTGCTTGATGCAAGATTTAACAACTTTCCCCTTACGTAGTCAGGGAGAGGACAAGATACTCTCTCACACACACACACACACAGGAGCTGCTGGGGAGCTATAATTAACTGAGTCCCTGTAAAAAAAGCTTTGATGGAAACTCTGGTCACATTCTGTAGATATACTTGTACAGTTGTGTTGCCCTACAGATTTTTTTACAGTCACATTAGACTTCAGACTGAACACTCAAGTTCAGCACTGAATTACGACAGTGCCTAATCCTTTTCTGTTATCATCTATTGATCTCAACTGTAGTCAGTAGATTTACTTAACTTTTCTGTAATGCCATGTGCAAACACTAAACACCTCAAACACAACCAGGAGCCGTTTGATTGTTTTAACAGTTTTTCCAACAGTGTAGACACTTTATTTGTTGTTCACCTTGCAATAGACAACCGTTGAAATTCAAACACTTAACCAAGTTTATCATAGGCACCATACAGAAAACATTTTCTAAAAAAAATTATCATCCAAAACTGGATCTTTAGAGAGCAAAACAACAAATCATCAGAAATTATTCAGTGTTTCTTGCAGTATAGGGACCACAGTATAAAGACAATGATAGGGAAAGAAGGGATGTTACAGTCAGCAGTGATGTTAATACTGAGCACAGTGTGAGGGGAATCTGCGGCAGCCATACAAGGTTTTATTGTTCTGGGTTGGAGTTTTGGGGTCGCAGGGGCTTTAGCTGTGGCAAGAAGATGCTGGAGGGATGTTTCAGTGCTGGGATTTACTCTGCCTTAACGTAGCGACGTATGGATTCAACATCATCCATTTTTAGTGTCTGTGATGGAGAGAAAAAGACGGTTTGAATACAACAAACACACACATTTTATTTATTTTTTTATTGTATGCATTTGGTGTGACCACTGACCAGTGTGAGGCTGTTGCCGTTGACTTCCCTGACCAGGCTGGTCTCTTTGCCGTCCCACTTCTGGGTGTGCACCAACTTCCCACCATCAACTGTTACAAAGGACTACAGCAAACAGGAACAAGGAGAAGGGAGATTATTACATGTAGATACAAGATAATGGCCCGTTTAATGTAAAAAAAGCATTTAAATAGAATTTTGAAGTCTTTGCTTAGCTGAGGGTTATATTTCATGATGCTATTTAATATTTATATTTCAGTAATTATCAGAAACAAGCACTTTACTTTTTAGTCAACTACATTTATTGGACAGCCTACCTTGCAGATTTCACATTTGTATAGGTACAACTATATGACTAGCTATAACAGAGGATAAATGTGACTTACTACTGTGATATCTATCAAAAGTAGTTTATAATCCATATATATTTGTAATATAATGTTGGCTAACATAACCAACATAAGTTCATTGGGGTTTTTTACGTCTTGTAAAAGCAAGAATGTATGATTTATTTCTCTCTAAATGTAAATAGTGTCACTCTCGAGTCAGTAATAATGTGCCAATAATTTATTAATAATCCAACACTCAAATGGGGTATACACTTTCACTTTTGATACTTAAATACTGGTTATTGTTGCCTCTGCCCTGCCTCATTTTGGGAATTAAAGTTCTGGCAGATTATAAAAAAGATGTGATTTACAATGAGCCACAAATAAGGATTTCTCTAGTCCTTTCTTATATGAAGCATTCTAATGACTGATTATCCTTGTCATATATTTATGGATACAGTATTTTATTAACATATATGGGTTTCATAGAGTCACTTAATGACTCTTTTTAGAAGGTTACACATTGATAAAGTAGGTTTCGCTCTTGATTTGCTGATGTGCCTTTGACCTCTCACCTTGACTTTCCTGTCATCAGCGGTGGTCTCATCGAACTCCTCATCCAGCTTGAAGGAGAGCTCTGTGTTCTTGATGGCGCTCTGCGTCTTCAACGTCACCTTGTCTCCCTCCACTGAGATGATGGTGGTGGGCTTGGTCACGTTCCCGACCTGGCGTGTAGCGAAGCCAACACCTGTAGAAAACAAAGACACATGGGTAAATGAAATATTCTGGGGAAGGATATTAAGGATAGTGTAGCTTTGATGCGCAGAAAAGAATAAACAAAGCCAAGCACCGATCAAATAAACGGGCAACGCCTTGCCTCACCTGCCAATGAGCTGGTTAAACGCCAACAAAAGCACTGTACTGTGCTACAATTAGCAGGAAACCAAACGTCTTTTGTAATAAAGTAAAGTACATGACCACTAGATCAGAGTGAAGTCATCATACTACAATTGTATTTGTTTTTTAAATACGTCTTTTGGTTTTATGTGTTTGTTTTATTTTTTGAAAGTATGAATACAAATTATAATAGTTGATAATAATTTTAAAAAAGCAGTAGCCATGTATGTGTCCTTTGGCTCTCCTTCACGCTCTAATCTCTGTTTGTCTTCTGTCCAACCTTGCAGCACGTTCTTCAAACAGTCATGGTCCCACTGACCTGTCTGGGCATGCATTTGTGCAAATCATTACTCCTGTTTCTTTTAGGGTGCGTGTGTGTGCGATAGATCAAGAGAGCATTCGATTGAATAATAGTGACTCACACATTTAATAGAAGAGAAAATCAGGTCTCTTTTTTTAGCTGACGATCCAGTTTATCTCTAAGAGCTGAAACAGCTTCTTTCCCAGGTGTGTGTGTCATCACTCAGGAGGATTAGGATGAAAGGTTGAAGGGTTTCTGTGTTGAGTAGAGCAGACAGGTCGTCGCTCATATGGCTCTGAGGTCAGCGGGCATGAATCTCTCACTCGCAAAGTCAAACAGTGCGGTGTCATTCTTCATGGTAGTAAAATTCAGAGCACCTGCCCCCATCACACACACATGCCAAACTATGCGTGAGATATTTGGGTCCCCAAGTTATCCTTACATACAATGTCGTCCCATTAGCTCCTGAGCATTGGGACCACCTTAATATTCAACTCCTCCCATGGCCTGACACAATGAACGGCTTTCAGCGAAGGTCACCCACATTATGCTCAAGTGTGTGAATGCCAGCTTGTTGCCATTCAGCGTTTCTCACAGTGGGGGTTGGTGAGGGGGGTTCTCCACTAAAGGAAGGCCCCTCCCTTATTCAAGCTGCACCATGTGGTCAACCACTCTTCCTCTTATCCCTCCCCCTCTGGTTCCCATCCTCTCCTGTTTCTTTCTCTCTTCTCTGTTCAAAGATTCAAAGGATTTATTGTCAAATGCACAGTAGCTACAGTGTAGTTACGGCAATGAAAATCTGAAGTCCCTTGCTCCTCTAACAATGCCACATAAATGTAAGACATAACCAGTAAAAAATGTAATTAAAACAGTAAAAATAGTGCAAGAAGAAACAGAGTTGAAATCAAGATTATGTTGTAACACCAATGTGGAAGTAATAAGATAAGATAGAACTAAGGAGTAGTAAACCATATACAAGTCAACTATGATTCAATATGCCAGAAAATGATGTAGGTGACCAAGTGAATGCAGGAGTCTATATACATATGAATAGAATTAGATAAATATGGACACCTAGTTTTTTTGTCTCCATTCTCAATCTTGGTTCCACCCTTGTTTAGCCCTTCTCCTTTTATCTTCCATATCCATGGCTG